CGTGTATTGTACACGTTCCTTGAAACAATGAACCTAGAGAAACACCAACACAGAGAATATTACCTGGTGTAATCTAAGTACAGGCAAATTCAATGAGACATCCGGATGAAAGGGACGGACATTGGAGTGGAGTATATTGTTATAAACCACAAAACAATACAATTTCTAGAAACAATGAACCTATAGAGAAACACCAACACAAAGAATATTACCTAATGTAACCCAAGTAGAGGCAAATTAGACATCTAGATGAAAGGGGAAGACAAATACCTGCCCAAACCCTAATTCATGAAGCATCAATAAATTCATTAAGGCATCTAACCCTATCAAAGAGCAAACAAGAAGATAAAACGTTCAGATTGATGATAGCACAGTCTGCCATTGAAAGCGCTCGCATATAATAGTTAGAAGTTATTAAAGCTTTTTGTAAACAAGTATCAATATTGAAACATTGAATATTAAGGAAAACTACCTGCATCAAACTTGTGTGGTGTGAAGAATGTTCTGTTGTGAATATTTTTTAGAAAGAAAATGTGTTGGTTGAACATCACATTGTTGTAAATTATCTATGGTATAAGAAGGCTGGTACAGAAGGAAATATTCATGTTAATGGCATCAAGAGTTTCAGAAATTGCACTTTTATTTATCGGGGGAGTCCTAAATTGTTAACTACATTCCACATAGCTTTAATTTTATCATATTTGAAAATAATATATTTTTCATTACGTCCTCTTCGAGTACGCCATCTGTCGGTTCGGCAGAATACTGAATCCAAGAATATCAAATATAAAAGTATTCACTGGTATCTTTTTCGCATAGTTAACCATCGCTATTGGAATCACTACACTGGAAAAAGTCTGCGTTGTTATCACACATGTTATTACTATTCGTACTTGTCCAAGGACGCCACATTTCAAACAGATAACAAAAATTTTAAGTAAGTATAACTGCACCAATATCGAATTTCACTCAAATCGCGATCAGTTCTTGAAATGAACACGACGGCGAGTTCTATTCGTCACCGTAACATGACTTCAAATTTAATTTTATGACTCTTCATCCAATCATAAAACTTGGTTAGTAAAAATTATCCAATACGAACCGCCAAGTCTACAGTCCATGTGGACTAGTTCGTTGCCGGTTCGTTTCTATGTATTGATTTTTTTGGCCTGTGAGAGTGCCGCTACCTTTAAATGTGCACTATATCGTTTACTTCGACCATACTTTCATATTGAAATATCGTCATATTTTGTAAATAGACTGATGAACATGGAAAAATTTTGGCATCTAAATTTTATTTATTATCCATTAAAAAACTTTGTATTTAATCTTTCCTCGAATTTTTATTCGGTACTTTGATAAGCTGTCGCGATTGATAGGAAGCGTTGTCAAGAACTATTACACTATTCGTATCCAAATTTGGGATCAATGAGTTTTTCGAACCATTCCTCGAAAATATTAGCTTTCATGTTCTTATGATAGCCAACATTGCAGTCCTCAAGTTTTTTTCCACATAATTTCAAAGAATTCAGAACCTATCCTTAACTTGTTGTGGAATTGGCCGCGGTGGTAGTGCGCCCGACTCACGATCGGAAGATCGTGGTTTCGATTCCTGCCTCGACCAGATATTTTTCTCGAGAGAATTTATCTGGTTGAAGCTGGGATGATTCTGCAACCGTGTTAGGAATCACAAGTTGAAAGGTAAGACCTCGTTAGTCCTTGGCTCGCACAAGTTTCTCAACTTCTGAGAGTTGTCGTTCGTATGGGGGCTACAGCTGATTGACGGAAAAAACACATTTTTTTAAAAACAGACTTACTCCATATTAGGCGTACACATTCTCGAACCATCAGTCCACCCTTTCGTAACTGTGTCGTGAGTGTCGTACCAAGTTTCGTCCAAATAGAAAATTTGCCGTTGTTCTTGTCTTTATTTAGTTATTTGTTACGCAATTCCACTATTCTTCTGCTTTCCATAACTGCTTGACGTTTGTGTATTATTTTAAATCTAAATCCTAGTTTCTTTATCTAGTTCTGAAGAGTTTTGTCACATCAGCTCACGTTATGGCCGAAAGTATTCAGTTTCTTTCTTATGATTTCAGTTGTAGGGATCTCATTGCTTTTTTAACAGTCGTATATTGTTTTTACCAATGATTTTATTAGATGAACATCTAAAGGTTTTGGTAAACCTATATCACATCGCATCTTGCGTTCATAAAGTTTATTTTTGACTATTTTACGTACAGTTGAGAAAAAAAAACCCTCAAATGTGATGTTGCTTTTAATAGTTTGTTTCCCTCGAAACCAAACTTGAGATGTAGATTCTTATATACATTGAAACATACTCTCTGTGTTTCAATATTCAAATGCATACGAATCTTATTCACTGATATCTCTTTTTCGCATTGTTCACCATCGCTGTTGGAATCACTACACTGGAAAAAGGCTGCGTTGTTATCACACTCGTTATTACTGTTAGTACTTGTCCAAGGACGCTACATTTTAAACAGGTAACAAAAATTTTAAGCAATTATAACTGCACTAATATCGAATTTCAATGGTCAAATCGCGATCAGTTAACCATCAAAACAAATCATTATGAGGTGAGTGATTTAATTTTTTCATTGGTTCACATTTGCCCTGAAGAGAAAGATAATGTTAATGGCCTGTATTTCAAATGTGACAGTTGAAGTCTATCGTGGATTTATTCTGGACTTTTGTGTCACTGGCAGAGATTTTGTTGGCAAGCGGAGAGGTTTTTCTATTCTGGTTGGGCACAAAAACAATAAAACATGTCAAATCAAATCAACATATGCTTTATTACCCAAAATCTGAACATCTTATTGGCAAAATCTAGTAAAGTAAAACATGTATATGGGACAATTAACAAATATAAACTATAAAATAATGCATAGAGACAAGAGCAGAGTATATGAACCTAACAATATTAAGCCCAGCTGAACAGATACAAATAGTACATGAATTTATGAATATTAATTAAATGTAAATATATAATGCTACATAATGAACATTGATAGCCATTTCGTGTTGGTTTCAATAACTTGTTTACACAAAGCTACATGCCAATTACTCGATAGAGCCTTGGTAGAATTCGTCCACACTATAATAGGGCCTCCCAACAAGGAATTCTTTTACTTTCTTTCTGAATTTCTTTCCATAATATATTCGCCTTAAATTAATGGGAAGGTGGTTAAATAACTTCTTGCTATCGAAAAGAATAGAATTTTGTGTAAGGGCTAGAGAAGGTGTGGGAAGGGAAACGGAGTAAGACTGACGTGTACTATAAGTTGAGGTGTTATTCAATTGATTTTTATATTTTTTGTGGATAAGACACACTGTTTCCAAAATAAAAAGACATACTAAGGTCAGAATTTTTTGCTTCACAAATAATGGGCGGCATGAAACCCTGTAGCTAGCCTTGCATAAATACCTGAAGGATCTTTTTTGTAGAGAGAATACCAAATTGAAACGAAATTTTGCACAATTTCCCCAGAAACAAATTCCATAACGTAAATAGGACTCAATTTGTGCAAAATAAACTGATCTTGTGATAGTAGTGTCTAACTCTCTTGCAATAACTCTCACTGCATGACATCCTGCTGCTAGTCTTTTACATAAGTAGTCGACATGGGAATCAAATTTTAGATTTTCATCAATGAAGTGCCCTAAAAATTTGTTTTTCTCCAAATTTTCAATTTTTACGTTTTCCAAGTGTACTTTCCCTATGTTACATGACCACATTTGTTTTATCGATTTTGAATGATAAAAGATTGGAATCACACCACTCTTTCACCCTTCTTATGTCGACGATGATTTAATTAAGTAAATTGAAGGCGGTATTGCTATGCCAGAGAATAGTGGTGTCGTCAGCGAAACATGTGAATTTACCACTTATGTCAACATGTACAGAGTCATTGACATAAATGAGAAACAACACCGGTCCCAAAACGGAACCTTGTGGAACCCCACTGCCAATGAAAAGTTCCTCTGATGAAATTCCATATAATAGAACATTCTGCTGCCGATGAGAAAGGTACATCTCAAACCAAAGTAATGCAGATCCTCTAAATCCGTAAACTTCTAGCTTACTGAGAAGTAGCATGTGGTCTACAGAACCGGTGGTCTACAATATCTTTTCACAGTCGTTTCACAGTTAATATGAAATGTATACAGAAATATTTCATCAAATGAACACCATCTGTTCACCAAAAATATAGTAACAATGACAATAGGTACGGTGAGATTTATGTAACAAAATGGGTTCATTCAACACCCAATATCTATCTTGTACTCGATGAAATGGAATGATGAGAACAATCTTGAACCAAATATACTCGAGAATAGTGTATTTTCATTAAAAAAAATCTGTTTAAAATCCGTTTTTCCATTAACCAGCTGTCGCACCCCTACGAACGACAACTAAGCTAAGGATTAACGAGGTATTACCTATTAACGTGTGACTCCTAACCTGTTCAAAATTTTACCGAGTGGCGCTTTTTTCATTCAGGAGTAATCAGAACTCGAGACAAGTAACTCTTTTCTCATTTTTTTCAAATGCAACATTCTGTGAACAAGGCCATACCTGAGCTATGAGCTTGCAAGAAATTTAGCTTTGATTTCTACCGGAAATGTACCTAATTAAAAAGAAAGAAAATAAAAATAAAAAGTGAAGAGATTCCAAGTCACGTTAGTTCACGACGTTTCGATTGTTAGTATCTACAATCGTCTTCGGGTGATGAATGAATGGAAGTCCGAACTAGTGAAATTCATCACGAAACATTGTCAATCACCTTCAAACAAACTCTCTTTTATTGTGAAAGCAACTTTTTTGGGTAACCTCAGCAATCTGCCATGCCATTCGAGTATAAAAATAAAAAACTAGCAATTTTTTATTCGTACCACCTAGTATGTTGCACGACGTACCTTTTTGGAACTTCTGAAAATACCGCACACATACATAAATTTAGAATGAGAGAAAATTATTGTAGTGGGACTTGAATAGCTGGTCGCGGTCTGTTTGTGTTTAGTTTCACGTGCAAGCGTTCCCGGCGTCATTTTCAGATAAATACTCCACGAACATCTGGTTAAATATCGGTGTTTTCATTTTTAATGTTATTGTTGTGAAGTTCCGTCGACGACATGTACAACAAGCAACCAGTAACTCCGACGAGGCACAGATCCTCTTCGTCGGCCAGAAGCACCGGGTCCTCCTACAACAACAGACCGAGAAGTTTGGGACACTACACGAGCCCCTACAGCTCGCCCTATTCGAATTCGACCAACCCCTATTCGTCTTTCGGCAACTACAACGGTTACGGCTCGAATTACCAGAGCCCCTATTTTCCGAACGGGTACAGGGGTAGTACTACCAGTTCCGGAGGATACGCTAGCCTGAAGATTCCCGCCAAGGCCCTTTTGAATTTGGCGACGTCGAGTTATGCGAAAAAGTACGACTCTGGAAACGATGGCACTAACGGATCTCACGTTTCCAGGAGGGATTTGTCGCGAGGGGGTAGTTATAGGGAGAGGTCAGTGTCGAGGTCGCGAAGTTCGTTGCCGTCCAGCGGTATGGGATCGAAGTCCATAAGTTTGACCTCGTTGAATTCTGAAGGATATGTCGTAAGTAGAAGGGTCATTTGGGAAAAGTAAAGGCCACAGCACTCTATCTTATGATTACAAAATAGTAGGCACTGAATTCTCAGAATGACTGTGACGTTTTTGCTTTAATCTGCTTCTTGTAGTGGTTTACGGAAGTTATGATGGGGAATATGACGATACAATATATAGAATAATGATAATCATAATAATAACGGAGATTTGTCGATTCCTAAGAATTAGAGACCGATAACATGCTTGAATTCGTGTTATAAGTATCTTTTACACACGAATACTCACCGCAGTTGACCGAGTGTTCGAACGAATATGTGAGCAGAGAGGGTCGAAGAGAAGGGTCGCTGGATGTAAAGAGAACCTGCTCATCGATAGATGTGTAACCCAGGACTCTATGCAATATAAGCGCAACCTCTCTATGGCCTGGATCGATTACCGTAAGGCATTTGATACAATTTCGCATGAGCTCATCTTGCATTTGCGCAGATGCCTTGCGGAACAACTGATACCACTTTGGCGAACTTGCTTCACCAACACATCTGGTCAAGCAAGAAAGAGTCCAAACAGGGTGGGTCATTTTCAGAAGGGGTGTATTTCAGGGTGATTCCCTCAGTCCCCTTCTCTTCTGCATCTCACTATTGTCATTATCCGTTGCGCTCAGAAATACTCGAGGGTATAACTGTGGCACCCCCGGAAACCGGAGGCACAAGGTCACCCATTTGTTTCATATGGATGATCTTGAACTTTATGCCTTTGGAGAGAAGGATCTCCATCAGTCCTTGAGGGTGGTGGAAGAGTACACGCATGCTGTCGGTATGAAATTTGGGATAGACAAATTTGCAATGATCCATCTCAAAAGAGGACGATGCGGGGACTACGGAGAGGATGTGCAGCTCGTAGATGGAAGCATCCTACATCATCTGGATGCCCGAGAGACGTATACTTACCTCGGGGTGGAACAACGCCACTCACAAGAGGCAACAGCAGTGAAGAACTCTCTCCGCGTAAATTGAATACTTTCGGCCATAACGTGAGCTGCTGTGACAAAACTCTTCAGAATTGAATAAAGAAACTAGGATTTAGATTTGAAATAATAAACAAACGTCAAGCAGTTATGGAAAGCAGAAGAATAGTGGAATTGCGTAACAAATACTAAGAACAAATAACTAAATATAGACAAGAAGAACGGCAAATTTTGACAAATCTTGGTATCACACTCACGACACAGTTACGAAAGGGTGGACTGATGGTTCGAGAATATGTACGCCTAACATGCCTGCAAACAAAGGATCGCGGCTAATAATTGTGCATTGCGGAGGAAGTAAAGGATGGGTTCCGAATTCTTTGAAATTATATGTAAAAAACTTGAGAAATGCAATGTTGACTATCATAAGAACACGGAATCTAATATTTTCATTTTAGAAAGTACAAATCTACAAGATATGATCAAACAGTCTTCATTTTGAACTATACATAAATCAAATCTTCTATCTTCAAATGTTCTAGTTTATCATTCTGATAACTCATTTTTTGATTAAGTTATGTTTTCCTTTATAATCTTGTGAAATTTCTGAGCGAATAAAATTATTTTTATTCTTGTTAAGTTCATTCATTAGCTCAAATAAGCACCATAAATTCAATTCAACTCCGTTGAAATTTAACGATTATTTATTTTCATATTTGCTTTCTTGGGTCAGTGGTAAATGTCTCGAAAAACTCAGCCAATGTAGAACATATATCACCGGTAATTTATATTTGTTTTGGTCGAACATCTATTTATATACCATTTTTTCTCGACAAACGGAATTATGTAGGCCCTTGGGACGGCGGTGATTAATTAGAGAAAAATCCTTGAACGTGTTTTTTTTTTGACGAAACAACAAATTGCGACGAAGGATAAGTCTATTAATGGGAAGATTGTCATCACGGGTTTGTTGTCCAAGCGTGAATCACAAAATTTCGACATCATTAGTGTTTTCGAGACAGATTAATATAAAGTAAAATAAAATACTTTCATGCTCCAACCAAAATATATATTGCGACAACTGTGCTCCTAATTATCAACAACTTGAAACCTACATATCAAATCAATTGCGAGTGGGATAGTTTTGACCCGAATTTATTTTAGTGAACTGCGTAATAAAAATGCTCAACTTATTGTTTGAAAGTGTTGTTGATGATCTAGTTTACCCCTATTTCGTTAATATTTCGTTGAATTCATTCGGTGGGTATACTCCTAGAAAACAATGAATATGAAATTTTCTACCGACCTTTTTTTTGAGTATTTTCACCTTCCACAATGTGAAAAATATGAAAATTATCAATGTCAAAGGAGTTGTGAGATTATGTCAATGTTTTCAAATAACGATAAAAATAAAATAAAAACAACAATAAAAATTAATTAGCGCTCCGGGGCGACTTCATTGATTCCAGTGGCGCACCTGCTTTTTCAGCTGCAGGAAAACCCGGAAAAACCTGCAGCACCACATCATCTGAAGATCTTGATCTAGCAATGTCTCCAGAGGTTCCAATAAATTCANTATGCAATTCAACTGAAAATTTCAATAAAGAAATATCATTAATTAAATATGTTCTGAAAGATAACGCTTATCCAGATTCGTTCATAATTTCAACTATAAATGCAATAGAAAATGAAGATTCAATTAAAAACCAAACGACCCTACAAACAGCTTCACAAATTCAACAACATCCAACTCAACAATTACCGACTCAACATCCACCGACACCTTTCACAACTAACGTTATACCTTACATTCCAGGACTATCTGAAAAAATAAGACGAATTGGAAATAGGTATGATGTTAGAACTACTTTCAAAACAATACACTGTGATCTATTATACTCACACATACAAAACCCAACAACACTGAAGAAAAAACAAAAAACTGCATTTACGAGATACCTTGTTCTTGTGGTAAAAGTTATATTGGGGAAACTTCGACACCATTGAAAGTGTGTGAGAATGAGCATCGAGATTACATAAAAAATAGACAATTGACAGGATCTTAATTGTCAGAACTCATTTTAAAATCAGACGGTGAACATCGAGTTCAATGGAACAAGACAAGATTGATTACCAATGAGCCTCACTCTAAGAGACGTAAACTAAAAGAATCAGCGTATATTCTCAAATCTGGAGGGAATTGTATTTCGAACAGCTCCTTAGAAATAGACCATACTTCGCTACCCATTTTGAAAGAAATTTTGGATAGTGGCGAAACGGCAAAAGACTGATATCGGAGAGCACCTTGTATTACATCGAATGTTTCAGTTGTTCAGTTGTCAACGTTGACATTGACACTTCAAAACTCCTTTGAGATCTGTCGAAGAAGTTGAGAAATAAATAATCAGCAAACGAATAGACGGAGGCAGATTTTGGCCTCAGAAACGTTAAGATAAGTATTGTAACGAATTAAAGAATTAACTATCTTAAACAGATTTATTTTTAACAATATTTCACTATCACAAATAATGTATGTACAACACTTAGCAACTAACGCTTAATTTATCTTTACAGTTCGAATTCTAGGTACAGACTACTTGGCCGACAAGAAGTGGCGCCTTTTTATATCGTCAACGAACGCTCCAGATTTCTCTAGGGATTTCGGCACTGGCCTGGATTATTCGCGGTGGCTTATCGAGTACATTCCCGATGAGTCATGCGTTTGCTCGCTGAGATATCGGTCAGGGCCGGCTTCAGATTAATTACAGTATTGTATTATTTCTTCGCAATTTTTTTAAGGGAAACTTGTTGAATACAAGTTTCTGATAAATAGAACTACTTTGATTTTACGCAGTAACTTATCGGGGTAAACTAAAACATTTGTCCTTTCTACACATGTATAAAGTTCTCCATTATAATTTTCATATTTTTCAGATTGTGGAAGGTATAAATGCCCAAAAAAGGTCGGTAAATGACTTTCGTTGAATATGAAATTTTCATATTTATATAACTTATCTCTATATCATATTTATATAACCCTTCTAGGCCATTTAGGTTTATATCCCCTTCACCGTCAAGAAGTCCCCTCAGTGGCGGATTTACCAGCAGGCTGAGTAGGCTTGAGCCTAGGGCGGCGGATTTGTGCCAAACATTTTTTTTTGTCTTACAGAAATAAAAAATAAATTAATACCTGAATATTATTAGATTTCACCACTTAACTGAACCTGTCAAAGTGGGGAATTTGACGTTTGTCAATCTGCTAATACTTTTTTTATACT